TCTCCTTCCTAGTAATATACCCTAGTTTCCCACAAGCACCAATAGACATTTTGGCTGATAGTGCCCATTCTAAATAGTTTATACCACCTCATTTTACTAGGGTAATAATCCTAAATCCAAAAAGATCACTAGTACCTCCTGCACCTAGACTTAGGTCTCCAATTGACTTCTGCTCAATGCTCCACCCCTCAATTTCAACTCAATCAATTTAAAAACTAACAAGAATTAGATAGAAACACTCCAAAACCATATCAATCTCGCAAGCAAGGGTGGAAAAACTTTCCTAAGGAAGAAAACCCTTTTTGGATGAAGAAACCTTGCCCGGAGAGAAATTTCCCTTCTTGAGAGGTATTGGAGAAGAGAGATAAGAGGTATCGATCTCTCCAAGAAACTTAGAAAGGGAGAGCAAGAAATTAAACCGCCCCCTATTAAAAACTTAAGGATATCCAAAATAAGTCAAATTGCCCAACACTAGGTAAAAAATAAAGAGTCCAACTTGACTAAGACTCTTCTCCACACTCTGGTTCTTCTTGATTTTGATATCAAACAAAAAATCACCTTCTTGATGAATGAAACCCACAAAAATCCAAGAAGTGGGAATCTTAACTAGATCAATCAGCCTTCTATTTCCTCATGTAGTTGACTAAACTAGGACTACATGGATCGGCCTCAAAAAATCCTAACTAGGCTCTAATACCAAGTATAAATTTGTTGAAATAAAAATTGTATGAAAAAAAGGAAAAAAAAAGAAGTTTTTGTAAGAAGAGAGAACGAAGAAAAGGAAGAGGAAGCAATATAATGTGGCTGCCCTCTTCCATTAGTATTTATACTTAATAAAAAAATAGTGTGCAATGACCGATATGCCCTTATAGGGTGGCTAATGTAAAAAAAGCTCAATAAAACATAAAAAATGTACTCTAAAAGCTACCAAATAGTGTGTTGTGGTCCCCACTCACTAATTAAACAAATAACAAATAAAATCAAGTAACAAAAACTGCAAAATCTTCAACAGAAAGAAAGGAAAAAGAAGCCAATGCAGGCTATACAACCCGGGGGTATCCCTCCCCAACACATCAGCAAGACAAATTGAATCCAAAATCCTATTGCTAACGATTAAAATATTACTATCTCCTCCATGACCAACGTTTAAACTCTAAAGATGCAAGAATATGGATGTTTAAACTCTAAGTCTCATATAAAGAGTAGCACTCCTTGATGATGGATTTTATGCTCCACAACACCATGTCTTGACCCTTGAGACAATTTATCACCAACTTTGAATCCTCCTTAATGGTAATATTTCTCAACTCGAAAGGTTTAACAATGTCATGGGCTTCAAGCGCAGCCTGAGCCTCAGCAATATTAATAGAACATTGGCCCACTTATTTACATTTACTAGTCAAGATCTCTATTTGGGTGGTGTCTAAGCTGGCTGAAGTCACCACATGTCAACTTTTGTGGACGACCTCATCAAACCACTATTTTCAAAACCGGTCCGCAATGGATGGTTGGACCGGAAAAACCAGGAACCGGTCACCTGACCGATTCCATTTTCCTCCAAAACCGTTTTTTCCCTCAAAACCGTTGATTTTGGTCAGCAAACCGCTGAACCGACCAGTTAACCGTTCGAACGGTTTTGACCGTTTTCCAATTTTTAAATTTTTTTTGTCAGAATGGGCCGGCTGTTCGGGTTGAACGGTCAGACCGTTCGAACCGGTAATCGGACCTCTAACCGGTTCAATCACTAGTTCATTTTTAAAAACCATGCATCAGACCACGTCAGCACAACTCACGCAACCGTGTTGCGAGAAGGTGCACTGAGGAGGTAGAGTTCTACACAGACAAGGAGACATGCCTTGTCGAGGAAAGGGGAAGCTCCTCGGAACCTCAACAAACAACCTAATCTCGACAACCCTGTGGGCCTTATCCAATTACAACATGGATGTTCGGGCATATAAAGGCACCTCACCCTCAAGGTAAAGGACTTTTGACTCTCAACTTACTTTAGCACCCCTTTTATTCATCCCGGTCTAGACTAGTCTGTTTTCCTCAGCTCGTCTTGACCGATCTCCCATCTCCTACTGACTTGAGCGTCAAAATGCCTACCCGAGGAACAACTCCTCGGGCCTCTAATCCTTCTTGTACTTGCAGATCACTTCGGTGTACGTCTTCGTCCTTCCACCTCGGCCTTGTCCAATTGGTAAGACTATCTGACTGCATCCTTGATTCGGAACACCTTGGATCGAATAGCATCAATCTCCTTTTTCTTAATTCTCACAATACACCCAACAACTACTAAACCATCACTTTTCCTTGATGCCTCAAAATTTATCTTAATAAAGGAATCATTTGGAACAAGCTATCACACCAAAATGATCTGGGTTCTCATATATAGTATTCTTAAACACCTTCCCATTTCTGTTCTTCCATAATCTCCATAATAGAAATACTAGGAAATCTATGATCCCCTTATTCTTAAGACGAGAGCTTTGATAGATTCTCTCCCACCAAGATTTTACATTTTCTCCATCATTCATTGTTCTCAAACCTACCCAATGCAGGAGGTTCCAAACCTGCCTACCATAACCACAATTAATGAAAATGTGATTGCAATCCTCGATGTCCCTGCAAAGACTGCACTCTTCCACATCCACCCCTTTCTACCTTACGAAACATTTTGAGGGAGTTTATTAGCTAACACCAAGAAGAGGAAAATTTTTAATTTTGGAGGACAACTTAGAGGCCACACGTTCATATCATCATTACCAATGGATATTAGAGTTCAAATCACCATTTACCAACAAATCGTAAGCCGATTTTACAGTAAAATTTCCTTTATGGTCAGGATTCCCAACCATCAAATCATCTTTATCTTTAGATGGAATAACAATAGCTCTAATTTTGTTCCATTACTCTGTTCCCAATAGCCAACGGATCTTGGATTCATCCTACTTTTTCCTTGAATTTGTAATATCACTCCCATAAACTGAATTAACTATAGGATGGCCATCAATCCAACTGTCCCTCCAAAGGTTTATTTTCTTACCATTTCTTACATTCCAATGTATTCCTTTTCTAAGAGGTCACGATGGCTTAATATTCCCTTCCAAGCCCAAGAGCTCCCTTTCTTAACTTTGTCTTTCTAGAAGTCAATAGTCCCCTAATATTTTTGCCTCGTGACTTGAACCAATAACTTTGATGGTTCAATTAAAATCTTCCACGCTAGTCTTGCTTGGCAAGTAGCATTTATCCATTCAACCTTTTTTATACCCCACCCACCATTGGATTTCAATTTAGAAAGGGATTTCCATCCAATCAAATGAATGCAGCATCTATTACTCTTTTCCCATAGAAAGTTTCTTTGAATTCGAAAAGGTTATTACATATTTTTGTTATTCAAAAGCTTCAATACATCTAAATTAATTGATTCATTATTTCAAATTTATTTCATTCTTTTAAATAAATTATTTTTATATTCTTATGATCACATATTAAATCTACTATAATTGTTTTTGTATTTCTAATAAATATGTTAAAGTTATTATAAAATTTCATTATTTAATCTATTTTTGTTGTTGAATTAATATTTAAAATATGATTTAGTTATTAATGTTTTTATGTTTAAAATTTAGTTATTTAAAAATTGAAATATTATTTAATTATTTAAATAATTTTTATTTATATTTTTAACTATTACTTATTTATTAAATTTACTAACCCCTAAGATAGAGGTGTAAATCGGGTCGGGCCACTCGTAGCCAAGCCCAATTGTATGGGCCAATAGGCTTTGTCGGGCTTGGGGCCAATGGATTAATGGGCCAGCATGGCCCACGACATGGCCCATTCAAAGAATTAGCCATTGGAGACCCCCCCCCCCCCCACGGCTAGTTTCAACTTTTTGGGAAAGAACAATGGGTGTGGTTTTTTTTTAGAGATACATTTTCTTAAAACAATGCCTTTTTTGGGAAAATGGGGGAGAGATTAGAGGGGAATTGGAGCGGGAATCTAGCAAAGGGGATAGTGGTGCCACATCCCCTTTGCTATGCTATTGGTTGTTTATAAAAATGAGATGGAATAAAATAAAATAAAAAATTAAAAAAAAAGAGAAAAAATAGACTTCCTTATTTGTGTGTAGTCTCTATTAAATTCTCTTGACAAAGTACAACAAAAGATTACAAGAGAGCCCATGAGACTATATATATTATTAAATACATAATGGGTTCAGATTTTAATAGTTTGGAACATAAAAAACCGGTCTCAACCCAATTGTAATTGGGATACAAAACTCATAACCACAACAAACCCAATTATAATTGGGACAGAAAATTCAACCGGAACTGGTATAATCGGTTCGGTTCTTGATCTGACCCAATGACATCTCTAATCGCTTCAATGGCCTTGCAGTTCCACAATTTGCATGAAATTTCTCAAACCATACATGTGCCAATCATAAATCATAATTAACTCGGAAGCACTCACTAATAGCTCAAAGAATCTCGATCTGGTAGAAATTTTCAGATTATTAGTTTAGGCATTATTATATGCAAAATCGTTGCAAAAATATTGGTAAATAGAATAAGATAATTTCTCCCCTTGTAAGTGCCTGTGAGTGAATCGATTGGGTTATGCAATGTGTATCCACGGTTTCTTTCCAAGTGTTTATCAATGGCTCTCCAACTAGGACTTTAAGCCTATTAGGGGTACTACACAGGAGAGAACCACTAGAATGATTTGCACAGAAAAAAAAAAAAAGATGTCAATTTAGGATTTGTAGCATTAAGAAATGGCCCAATGATACTTTTACAAATTATATAAAAGTATAAAACATTTAATATTTTATATTATATTTTAGAATTAAAAAATATATTTATCAAATAGAATCAAGTTATATCCAAATTTGAATCCAATTGGCCATTCGATATGAATAGAATCAAGTCCAATTTTCTTTATTTTGTCAGCCAATTGAATTTCCAAATCCAAAGAAAGAAGAGAGTAGTAAATTAACAGCTAAAACCGAAATAGACCTCCTCCATACTCTTTACGGTTCAAACTTCAGAGAAAAAAAAAATCAGGCGAGAGAAGCTTGTGCAACAAGGATCTCTTTCTTTCTGCCTTCTTTCTGGTATACCTTATATAACACCTTACATATATCACAATTGACAAAAGGGGCTGAGAAAATGTACTTCGCTAAAGTAAACACGAAGTGATAACCACCACCTTTTAGCTTTTAAGATGCCCTAACAAAAATAGAAATAGGCTATGATCCTAAGAACTGTACACCATTTTACAAGCAAGAAGCAACCAATCCATCATCATAAAACAGCAGAGTATTCTCACCAAATACCAAAGCTGCAGCTAACATGTTCCTGGGTTATGATACGGAGGCGATCCCGCATAACAGCCAGAGATGGGTAAGGCGGAAGACATAACCGGTAGAAGCATGTGTGGGATGAGGGTAGCCTATCAGGAGAATCTGATGTCTTAAAGATGTAGAGGCGAGAAGCCAAACCGCCAAAGCCCTCTACTGGTAGGTACTTCAATGAAGTCCAAAAGAAGAGAAGAACCCTTAGCTGCTCTGGAGACATTTCATCAACAATCTGCACGAGTTTTTACACACTAGAGTTAAAATATCAGGGCAAATCAATTTGGCGGCAGTAAAAAGCTCCTTAATCAAACAATCAAGCTGTATTTTTTTTATTAATGGAGATTTGTTACTGAAATATTATGTCAAAGCAGCTAGCATGATTCACTGCATTTGCAACACCACCAAGGCACCAACACTTCAAATTATATCTGAAAATGAATTCCAAGCTATTTAGGCTCAGTTTGGAAGGAGTACAAATACAAATATATACAGCATAAATACATATAAAATAATACAAAATACAAGGTTTTGCGCTCTACATATTTGTATTTGTACTCCTTCCAAATGGAGCCTTAAGCTTCTTTCCGTG